CCAGACATTGAGTAACCGGCCCTTAGGGTACTTATTACGTTGGCCACTAATTCAATTGATAACTTTTTCTGTGAAAAATTAATGAAGGCTTTCAAACTAGACTATTTTAACCAAAAACATAATATGTAATATTATGAAGAAACATGGCATTAGTAAATTACCTGCGCTTGAGGGAATTTGACCTAAATTTTTAAGCTTTTTAGTTGGGACCGTTTTCTCAATAACCTGTAACTTTAAAGTTCACTTTATATAATGGTTGCATTAAAATTTATGATTGCGTCTAAAGTAAAGCATTATATCATCGATTTTATACTGGGTTACAACAAAGAAACATACATACGACAAAAACCAATAATAGAAATGCTTAACTTATAGCCATATTTTTAATACAACCTTTAAATATAAAGTGAGCTTTAAAGTTAAAGGTTGCTTCATAAAACGTCTCTTAGTCTAAAAAAATATCCCTTTAATTGAAAGAAATCGGCCAGTATCTTAAACAAAGAGCACAGAACATGAAAATGTTACATTAAAAAAAAAATTATCGCTAGGTCAAAATATTTCTTCCCTTAATGCAAAATAACCCTAAAAATGATGAATTTGTTTTTTGTTGGTCAAAACACGATCGCATCATGAAAATCTGCATGGGCCAAAAAGGCGATCAATTGAATAGTTTTACTTTAAACTTAAGAGCAGGTACATCCAACCAGTTTAACATCTAAAAAAAATCCACTATACAATTTTTTGATATGAATTTGCAGTAAAAAGTTGATTTTGATGATTTCAGTCAAATGATAACAGTTAGACCAAGCCAAATATATTTTTTTTTATCAACAATAAAAGGCTTATCCAAATGCCAAATAAACCAATAGTTCATCCTATTTAAGTGAATTTGGTATCAACCGGTTGATCTTAACTTCAAGGATGTTTATGAAGTAACAAGTGTATTAAAAACTAGTAACAATCAGATATCGGAAGAAAATGTTTAAAAATCATCCCGAATTTTTAGCCAAATCAAATTTGAACATTATTCTACTAATGCGCCAAATACACCACATAATTGGTTTGTCAAACTTGACGAAATTGATGTCTGGTGATGATAGTGTCTGGCGCGGTTCGAAGGCTTAGCAAACCCCATGAAGGATCTTTGAAGAAAAATCAACATTTTTAGATTTTCTGACCGCCATGTTGAGGTTTGACTCAAGAATTGCCTCTTTTTCAACAATATTTTTATCGAGTTGGGTCGTAGGTGAAATAATGGAAAAATACGAAAATTTTTTACATTGTGAGGGGGGAGAAAACTAAAATCTTTGCTTGGACGAGTCATGCTTGTATGGTGTATGGCGAATTGAAAAAGTAGGTTTGTCATATCGCTTCTGTGGTGCGAAATTTTTTAAATTAAGGCAGCTATTTATTTTAGCAAAAAAAATAGTTGGCTTGGTTTAACTGTTATCATTTGACCGAAACACGAAGTAGTTAAATTTACACTTTTTTCAAAAATGTTAGAAAAATAAAAAAGGGTCATTGATCCTTGTAGAGGGCATAATGACGATGACAACGACACCAACAAATTGTCTTTTAGAAAATTTTTTTAAACCTTGACTTTTTAGTTTTTGAAATACAATAGTTTTTGAAATTCTGTCCACCAGATTTGTGTGGTGGATTAATATCTGTTGTTACTTGATATTGCCGTGAAATGTTGAGGAGCCGACTTTGAAAGGCCACCGTGTCGCTTAATCGTGTAAATCTTGATTGTCATTTGGCATCAACAACTGAATAAATAAACAATCGATTAGGTAGACTTGAATCGTGAAGATTGTACTGAATGTTGCTCATACGACGCGTGTGTCGAAAAAGAGTGATTTTATTTACTGGGTACGAAAGTAATATAAAAACTGAATAATATAAAACTGCCTGAAGAGGAATTTCGTGAGTAAGATAAAATCCACTTTTTATCTAGAAATATTATTTATCATGTGGTGCTTGCACCAGAAGTTTTAGGGTTCAAGTAAATGAAGCTTGTAGTAATTTGTCAGCACAAGAGAAAATTTTCATTCTGTTGGAAATTTTTCTTGAACCACAATATTTTATAATATATTATATTCGCATAAGAATGCTTTTTCGATTCGAAAAAGTACTCGAAAACGAATCGTAGACGGCTATCTTAAACGACTTTTTAGCCGGTTTTTCTTCGAGAATATACTCCAGTTACAGTTACTTTCTGATTGATGACAAGATTAGTGATGATAATTAAAAACAGCGTACTAGATAAATTTTTCTCAAAGTTGACCTAATTATTTGAGCACAAGTGTATGTGCGTAATAGAAGTATGTACTTACAAACTTATCCGTGTTGAAATAGTTATTTACATAGAGTATATTAAGCCACCATGACGCCTGACAGCGCTCCTGCTCACGTCTGATGCGCTCTGGCCATAACGGACCGCTGCCGATGCTCGGAAACCAGGTCATGTAGAAGCCGATAATTGCCATATAGGCCGGTGTTAGGCGAATGTAGCGGCCAATGTACAAAATCAACGGATTTATTTGACCACGACGACGATGCAGTTCGACCAGCATAATGCGACAGAACAGGAAACCACTCAACAACAGAAACGTATCCACAAATAATAGCGAATTGTAGAGGAATGCAAATGTGGGGAATTTCGTTTGCTAAGATGTGTGGTGATTTGCAAACAGGGAAATAAGAAAAAAATATATAATATGTAAGTACAGTATTGGCCATATCTATAGCACCGCGATTTCAAAGTCCCTAAGGGAAAATAATTAATTATTAATGGCAAACAATATCTCTTAATACCGAAAAAAATTCTAGCACTTCTAAGAAAAAATTTTGAAATTTGGGTGAAAATTTGTCGAATTTTTTTGTAGCTCTTTAAAAGATTTAAAATTTGTTGAATTTTTTTTTGTAGTATTCTATAAAGTCTAAAACTTGGGTTTATATGGTTTTTGTTGGAGAATGAACTGTATTTTACTTGAAAATTCCTAAAAATAAAGAAATAACTTTGAATGGGGGGTGCTATTGTATTGGTCAATACTGTATATATATGTACGTGAATTAATACAAATGTCAAGCATTCAGTAAACAATTGTGAAATAGTCATTAAAGCTAACGGTTTCAAGCGATTAAACCAAAACTCGTTTTTTATGCGTATGTATGTATGTATGTACATAAATTAACATTAGTCGTCATTATTACCTCTGCTACGAACGCCACATTATAAGTGGGACTGCCATAGATAAACGACAGCGCATGCCCGGCAAGTATCAACAACATTGCCATTGCTTTGATGCCGTTTATCGAGTTTAGCCCCATCTGGTCTTTACTCGCCTGAAACAGTTTCTTCGTATTCTCTGCAATATGAAAAAACAAAAATATCATCCAATCTACAGATATGCAAATATCACACCCACCTATAACTGAGAACGACAACAATGCGATTGTCAATGTTTCTTGTTGCAATGCGCGTTTCGAGACATCATCGGCACTTCTCGACGCATAAATCAAGTAGCAATGATAGGCGGTGCTCAATGTGGCCAGCAAAATAAACAGAAATAGCACAACACTGCAAAAATATTAGAATTAAAAAAAAAAAATAGCAAGCAATTACTTAAGCCATTACCTAGCATATAAATATAAATATGTAAATATGTACATATGGTTGTGTGTAAAATGATTAACCCACTTACGCATAAGCAAACATTCCACCATCGACGTGCAACGCCCTGCCGGATCCAACGTTGCTCAGCTGACAGGCCGTTTCGTTGACGCTCAACACCGGGCGTTGCAAGTAGTTCTGCAAAAACAGAGCGACATCGGTGGGCTCACAAGACGCTGGCACGCATGCGCCCCAATGCGACACCACCACCACTGCTGCATCACCAATGCTTTTCAAGGCCTGCAATTAAAAGCAATAACAATGACATTAATTCGCTTTTTTTCATTTTGGTTTTTTGGCAAATTATGACTGATTGATGTCAATTTGTTTTCATATTCTCTATTGCACATATTGCAACCGTCTGAAGAGCTTTAATATGTGTTAAGGCGTGTGTTAGCTCTGGGCAGTAATCCGTTGATATTTTACCAGGGGTCAAGTTAGTAATAAAACTGGTGACATATTACACAATAAATAATTCCTTCACTTATACAAAACACACTTTAAAGGCACACTATACGAAAAATCAGAAATTTGCACTTTAATTTTATTTCATTTTTGGTTATGTTGTCAGTTACATATTTAGCGATAACTTCAGCCATTCCATTTTATGGAAAAAACATACATAAGTATATAAGTAAAAAGTTATCTATGTATAACTATATAAAATCGCATATTTGCTTCACAGAAGAATTTAATCAATAAATCAGTATTCAGTATTTTAGTGCTAAAAAATTTTGGTTCATTTGTATTTTAATAAACACCATATAAATCTAAGTGTGAAACTGTATACGAAATTTAGGAGAAATCTGCAAAATCTCATAAAAATTGCAAAATTTTTAATAAGAAGGATGCAGTTTTATAGCCCATTCAATTTTAGTATAAAAATGTCTTAAAATTTGCGTTGATTTTTGATGATAAAAAAGAGAAAAACGAAATACTGGACTATAGTACTCTCCTCCGGGTGCATAACGGTAGGAGGTTTAGTTGGGTTAAAGTCTGAAACTGCCGATTATTCACATTTTTTACAAAACCGGTTTTCGGATTTGGAAAAACCGGATAAACCGGTTTTATGTTACATAGTTTTTATGCAATAAAAATACTTATTTTGGTATGAAGTCATGGCCAAAAACAGAAAAGAAATCAGTTAAAAACGCACGCTTGGTCTTATTTTTATAATTTATTCCATTTTTTCTGACTTTCTTCTGTTTTGAGTAGTGCTCTTGCCACCCTAGCCGAGTGCTTAGAGGTGCCTACTGCTCCTCGAGAGATCCCAGGTTCAATTTCAATTTCCGAGTATACTTCTGCTATAAAAAAGCAGAGCACGAATTTTACGAAAAGCTCGGCCAAACACGTAGAAAGCCTTTAATCGCCAAGCATTCATCCCCAAACAACCTGGGATGTACTTTTAAAACTATTTAGGGGCTCCCCTTAAGCTCGACAACTTGAAAAAACTTAAATCTTCTATTGGATTTGGATGATATGAAAAACCGGTTTGTTCGATCAAAAAATTCGGTTTATTCGATATTCGAAAAATCAAGATTCCAAAAAAACGCCTACAGATTCCCAAAAAACCGGTGGAAACCGGTTTGGAAAAACCGAGTTGGTCACCCTAGTTATTAGCCACGTTGTATTGGGGTCGAGAAATTTCGAAAAATTTAACTACTTCCAACACTTTCCGTACTGTTTCATAAACTTTGTACAACAAAGGAATTTTTATGGACGTCGACATATCGTACTACAATTCAAACATATTCTTTTTCCCACCATTTATTGCGATTTTATATTCCAAGCTTACACAACATCGCGATGGATATATATCCCTGATTTAGATGTTAGCATTCGTTATGCATAGATAAAGGAACAATAATGTAGACAACGTATTTGCATACATATATATATATGTATGTATGTATGTATGTCAATAATAAGCCAGTTGAATGTCTCTTACCGAAATTATTCGCTACGTGACTATAGCGGTAATCATTTCAAAATGAAAGTACGCATAATAAGCAAATACATACATATGTACATATATATCTATGTGTAGATATGAGCCGTTTATTTTGAAAGTGGCATAAGTCACGTTTTCGAAAAAGTCGAATTAACGAATAACAGTAATTACATTTTAACGGCAACTATTCAGTAAAAAAAAAATAAATAAGATTTTTTACACACACACAAACATACGCTCACAACATTAGGACCCTGGCGTCAGGATTTTTCTTAAAAGATCTTTGAAATTTCAAAGATATGATTAGTTCCGAAAGATATTCAAAAAATTTAGTGCAATATAGAATAACAACATAAGGACCAAATAAAAGAGAAAATTCTGCAGAATTGAAATATTTTAAATTTTTTGGTGCAAATGGAGAAATAGCTAATTAAAATTTTGTCCTTGAGCATCCTTGCAAATTTGCAATATTTATTTTTGAAATAATTATAGTGCAAAGATTAATATACACACGACCACATCTTCGAATTTTGTCCTTCTACTTTAATACCTACAACAAATAAAAAACTTATTATAAAGGCAATTTCAATACCAATTCGTCCTTGTGAACCAAAAAATTTAAATATTTTCGAATTCTAAAGAATGTTTGCTTTCATTTTGTTCCAATATATTTATTGTAAATACATTGCACTGAATTTTTTAAATACATACATAAGTTTTGAAACTAGTCAAAACTTCGAAAAAAATAAAAATAATTACAAAGGCAATTTCAATACCAATTTGTCCTTGTGAATCAACAAAGTTAAATATTTTCGAATTCTAAAGAATTTTGTTCCCATATTTTTATTCTACATTGCACTGAATTTTTTAAATGCTTAAGTTTGGAACTAGTCAAATCTTTGAAATTTCAAAGTCCTTTAACAAATCCCGATGCCAGAGGGAAAAAACCTAAAACGCATTTTTACTCTAGTTGGCCCCCAATTTCGTGTGTATAAGTAAAAGTAACTTATTTATCAATTTTAGTAAATCACTGTCCTTTAAAAACATCACTTCAGTAATATGCATCGGACAAAATTGATATGTCAGTAATTTTTTTTTTAACTATTTTAATGAAAAGTGGTAATTTTTTCAAGACTATACAAAATTGTTTATACTGAGAAAAATATCCTAAGTTGACAAATTCAAGTAAATCTTCTCATAAGTTAGCATCAATATTTTCAAACGCGATTTAAAACCAAAAAGACTTATGCCACTTTCAAAATAAACAGCTCATGTAAGGGTATGTAATACTTTAGTGATGAAGATAATTATTTTAATAATTTTTGGATGCTAAAATTATTTAACTGTATATGTGTGCAATTATAAAAGTCATCCTAAATACGCAAAATGAAAACAATGCATGCAAAATGTATAATTCTAGATTTTTCTAAGCAAATAAAAGCTTTTGCGCTTAGGCAAGTATTCATACAAACGTACACGAAGTTACACTTAATAATTAGACACGTTTAACCTGTTTACTATCCCTAGTAGAAAATATTCCTAGAGAGGATTAATAGTATCGATAAAATATTTTACTTTGTGTTGTCCATATATATAAGTGACCAAAATTAAGATTTTACGAGTCGAATTGGTTTTAGTTTCTTCAATACATATGTATGTAAATATAGACACTTTTCTTTATTTACGATGTGTCCATTCATATGCATGCTCAAGTAAACAACGTAATTATAAATATAAATTATTGCTATCAACTTATTTTAATATTTTTCAAAACAATCAAGATTGTTAAGTCTAGACTGACCACTACATACATACGAGCTACAAATATGTATAATTTCTTTAGCCTACACTTCATTCCGTATTTCATGTGACAAGTCTTCATAAGTTAAGACCAGTCTTCATTGCTTAACTCGTATTCACCTTAGTTCACTCCCCATACTTTCTTTCTTAAATAAACTTCCTCGTGTCGGAATCTATATTCTTATTTCTGACCTCTTGAAGCGATGTTTTCATGTCGTAAGAATTATATGACGAATTGGAAAAGAGACGTGATAAACTCCTAGACGCCAAAATTTTAAAATATCGGAAGAAAATTAACCAAATGAATTGGATATAAATTGCCTTAAAAAAATTTAGCATTTCAGCCTCTGATTTTGAAGTAGTCTTAGCCGAATGCATTGAAAGTTGTTGAAATTATATGCAGAGTCGGATAACTGACTCGTATTAGGACATCGTCTTGATAATAAAGTAATTTGCTTACCATAAAAAATAAGGATTTCCACTACTTTTAATTATTAAAAAAAAATTACTTGTTAAATTTCTTTTAGAGCACATAGTTGATTTTCCGATAATAATACATATTTATGTTTCTATATATTTGAAGATACAATGCAAGCTCTATAACTACGGCGACCATCCGTCCTATATTATACGGGACAGTCGCCTTTTTTCGTCAATTGTCCTGGTAATTTATATATTTTATTATACGGACCAAATGTTCTGTATTTCTTTTAATATCCCGTATTGGTCACATATTCGGTATTTTGGCGCCATGACAGCTCATTAAAATGGCAATGCCTACGCACCAGCTTTTATTTTTAAATCTGGACGATTGTGATTCGAATCGAGCAGCACATATAAGCCATTTATTTTGAAAGTGGCATAAGTCACTTCACAAGTCACAAGATATACCGTTTTGTGTCATTAGTTTATGACGATAGAGCGATTTACAGATGCATTCGGCTACAAGTAGCCGGTCATTTAAGCACATGAGGTACTTTCAAAATAAACGTCTCACATGTAGATGGTTTCTGAAGTTATTATAACATTGCCTAGAAAAACTGGGTATTTGTGTGTATAAATCGAAATAAGACGTTAATGATAATTGTTCAAATTACTAAAAGTAATTTCACTAGTATTTAGCTTTTCCAAGGTTTTTTCAAAGCATGTTGAACAGGTATTTAGCAGCAGTAGAGCAGCTAATTTTACTTTTTCGAGAATTTCGTCTTTAAATTGTCATTTTTGTTTACATTTTACTCCAAAAAGAAATTTGCAGCTCTCAATAAAACTTTTGGTTACAAGAACGGCAAAAACTGTGATAGTTTTCTAAAATGAGTCATCGCTATTTTGTTATCGAGCCTCCGACTTATCGATATTCCACTGTACATACATTTTAATATAAAAACCCACTTGTTTTTTTTTTCATTTCATTTATTAAAATAGTCTCCTACGCTCAAGAACTTTACAGCATTTACCTTCGACTTATCATAAATGTACGTCAAATAGGACCTGGACAGCATATCGAAACCATATTGAACGATCAAATTAGCACATTAGTATTCCGCTGGCATAGCGCTTCACCAAGTGCTTTAAAACTTTGCGATCAAAAAAGTGAGTAAGTAAGTATTTACGAAGAACACATTGGAACGTAATTACGATTCGATGCAATTAAAGAAGACCCCGTTAAGCTAACAACGGTTTCTCCGCGCAAATTATGGTAATAAAATAAAGTTCGGCTGGCTGGCCATAACCGATCACCAAATTTTAGCATTACATAACCATGACAATATGCATACATAAATAAATAAAGCGTTTACAATTCAACTTCAGATTCTTTTTAAGTTCATAGCGATTAGCTAATTAGAGAGCAAAATAAGTACTATGTATAAAATATCTATGTATATTTATTATTATGCATATAATGTCTGTATATTATAGATATTAAAGAAAAATTAATAAATAGGGCGGGTCTTCATGAGAGAAACAGAAGCCAAACCAACAATTTTTAGAAATATTGTCTGTCTATTTGTCCGTCTGTATCCATCGAAAACTAATGCATGAAATTGAATGCAGTTTTCACCGATGCATTGCTAGAGGTCCAACTTAAAATATAGAAAGAAAAAATAGAGAGTTGCCACTTGTGTGACAATTTCAGTTTAAGTAAATTGATAAGATAAAGTAAATATTGCAATATGGCCGCAAAAATAAACGAGGTTTAAAAAGGCTTACAGCCGAAAATATTTTTGTTGTAGGTTGCCACCTGTTTGAAAATTTTAATTTATTTTAAATGGTAAAATAAAATAAATATTGCAATATGGGTATCAAAATTAAGAGGTTTAGGAAAGTTTAAAGCACAAAAATACTTTTAAGGCGCAGTGAAGCCGGGCATTTGCTAGTTGATAATAAAATGAATGTACATTCTTATTTACGGTTAGCATATATATGTGTTAAATGCTCATTTACTAATACTCGTACTAAGCCTAAGAGCCTGTGTGCCAATCAGTAGCAAAGTTCTATTGTGAAATTTAATATGGTAAGTAAATTTTACATTTCTGTTGTGTCGTCTCGTCAATTTTTTCTTCTCCTAATTGTCAAAATTTACTAACCGGAGTACTTTGCTATTGCAATTGGCACATGTTCTAAGTATTATAAATACATTCTTACCTCTTTTTGACGACTGCCCACCGTTTGCAATGTGAATCCATCCATTTTTACGTCTACTAAGCAATATTTTGAACGCACTACAAGCTCACTAGATCCATTTCCGTTTGCATTCGAATAAAAATGTCGCTGATCTAAGCATTGATCGAAATGTCCAAACTGATGCAAAACACCACTTTCGATACCAGATGTGGATTTGGCCATTGCATCGTACACTGAAAGAAAAACATAAGTAACTAAAGTAGGTAACTCGCACATGTACATATTGAAGACAAAGTTATAGTCTACGGGCTGTTTCTACGCATTCAAGATCGATATACTTTTAAATGTAACATAACTTTTTCAACAGCGAATTAAGTAAAAAATTTGATTTTTTTAATAAAAATGACAAAAAATATTGCTTCTTTTTCTAAAAGTTAAATATGTACAAATCGCTAACTTGGGGTGGGGATCTGCTAAGTCTAAATTTTTAAATTTTTACTGCATTTCTCCAATTATTTTACAAAGCAAAGCAAAAAAATCTTCATACGAATCGATAATCGACGTTGGTAAACGGTTTTCGTATTCTTTTGAACTCTTTGCCTTAGTTCCCTTTTTTGACCATTTTAGAGCTTCTGTAGAAATCGTTATACATGCATGGTCTGACATCGACATATTTATTTGGCCAATGGCGATTGCACCACTAGAGTTGCTGTAAGTATCTTTACGTTCTGCTTATAGAAAGATGGCCAGATCTATCGCGATACTCTGCATGCGACCAAATTGGTTCACCTGAATTTCTCCTCAACTTGTGGGAACAGGAAACTGATATGTTTGAACTCGGTTCCAAAATTTGTATAGCAGGCTACTTTCCCTAGCACTCCCTCGCTTCCTTGCTTCCCAAAACGCTGTAAAGACTGACGTTGTGTTGCCCAAGAAATTTTTTAAATTTTCGACTCAATTTGAGTGAGTAAGATCTATAATATCTACCAAATTTTCATATATCACAAGCTGTAAAAAATTTCGCACATCTAATCTGGTAGTCAGTATTTTTATCCGATCTTTAATCCCTTTCATTTATTCATTTTGAATCGATCAGTGAAGATTGGAATATCTTATATTTATCGAAGGATTTGCGTTCACTGAAATTTAAAGCCTCTATATACATATAACCTCAACTTTTTCTAAAATACAGCCAGCCTGTTCGACGCCTTAAGCCTTAGAGCTCTCCTACCTGCAGACAGGACCGACTAGACCCCCAAGACCTGAGTTTTCAAAGGGCCTGGATTTTCTTGAAGAAACAAAATTTCAGACGAATTGATAAGCTGAGTTATAATTATGGCTGATTGGTTAGGGGGACTACCACTCCCCAGAACATGGGTTAGACCCTGGTCCGTGTAACATCTAAATCAGAAAAAGTTTTCTCTAACACCGGTCGCTCCTCGGTAGGCAATGGCAAACCTCCGAGTGTATTTCTGCCATGAAAAAGCTTCTGGTTTCTGATTTTTGCCGTTCGGTGGCGGCGTAAAACTGTCGGTCCCTGCGAAATTTGGTTATCAATTCAACGAAAAATGCAAAAAACCGTTGTCTATTTCAAATGCTTTTATCGAAAAAACGTGGAAAATATTCCTAGATTTTTTTTATCTTTCACTTTTTTTTGGGAAACTTAAAACCTAAATATACTAAAGCACAGATATTAATTAAAACTTGACTGATTCATTGTAATATAAAAACTGGGAAAAATTACTTACTTCAATACTTTCTAAGTACATGCAAGCCTTTATTTAGTCCTCAAATTTTAGCTGAATATTTATATTTTTATAGCAATATCTGTTAAACTAGCTCAAAATACAAATACCAAATCACTGCATACTTCATGATAGAACAAATATTACGTTGTTAAAACTGCTTGCTATTCTCTATTATTTATGAATGTGCAATATGTACCTATGTACATTAAGGTGGTCCTTAAAAAATCAAATGAAGAATTTTTTAAGTCTCACCCCCTCAATCGGTAATACCACTGTCACAGTTATTTATCACACATAAGTTTTGGTCCCGATTGGAGAAGGTTAAGGCGTATCGCTTAGGGGGCAAAGACCAGATGCGTCTAAGGACTTAAAAAAAAAAAAAAAATTGTTTCATTTAATGCCCAAAATCGATACTACTAAAGTCGAGGATATCACATATAAATTTTAGTTTCGATTGGAGTAGTTTAAGACGTCTTTATAGGGTAATCTGAGCTTTTACGACCTTGTGCGACCTTAACCGACTTCAATCCGAACCAAAATTGATATGTAATATCTTCGACTATAGTAATCGACGTAGGGGTTGAGGCTTAGGAAATTTGATGTAAAAATTTGCTTCCTACATTTAAAGACCACCCTAAAGTACATATATATGTAACTATGTACTTGCCGGTGTTTGTACAAAAAAAAAAATTTTCTATCAAACAAACTTTGAATGCCAATATTTTTCCTGAGTATAAACAATAAAGGATAGATATTAATATTGACATACACACATATCTACATTTGCTTATACTACATATGCAAATGCCTTTATAATTATATAGTCGAACAGTATTGTGTTCTCATATTAGCATCTGCTACTGTCTGTATACATAAGTACGTACATAAATATGTACATATGTATGTATCTACTCCATATAAATATGGAACTTATTTATGTACATACACTATGTAAACACATAGCATTTGTCTGGTGATGTTAGCCGCCTATTATCAGCCACATCTAGCAGCCACATCTAGCAGCCACTTCTAGCAGCCACATCTAGCAGCTACTTCTAGCAGCCACGCGCTGTATTGTATCAGTCATAGTGTTTCTAGATCAACTACTGTCGCGCATGCGCGTGATTTAATCTAAATGCATCCCACGTAAAAATAAGCGCAAATCGCAACCAAACCAACGACAAAACCATTCAACAGCTACGCTCGTAAATATTTAACATTAGCATAGTTTTTACTACATACATACATAGTTAGTGTCTGACATTCTTTGTAGCAATTAAAGAATTTTTAAGCAAAAGTACAGACGACTTTACAGAAATTGAAAAAATTAACTGAAATAACACGCATTAAAAATAAACTGAATAGCCTGTAAACAATTACATAAGTCAATGTAACATATACCCACTAACGCAAGTTCTTGTAGTTACTTTTCATGCTAGTTCCGTAAAAAAAAAAAATTTGTTTATGTGTTGAGTGACACGCTTCTGAATAAAAACAAAAAATATTGTTTTGAACGCAAACATGTCTCGAAACTTATTTATAATGGGCGCGTTCATACGACGTACTAGCTGTTTGTTTAGCTCAACTGCTACCAACCTGCTGGCAACTGTTAAACCCAACGATTACCTACGCCTTAGAAACGGCTTGATGAAAGCTGATAAATGTAAACAAATGAAATTGCAATAAATGGAGATTGTTTCGTCGATAGTATTTCCAATTCAACGCTGAGCTGCCGCCGTGTTGAAAAAGTCGGTCAATGTTATAACGAATTAAGCAGAGTATATTATAAAGCAAGCATCTTAATAAACATAAACATATTTAGAAACGTAGTTTTATTAGAAAAAAATATTTAGTTACCTTATCACATCAGTAATATAAAATTGAGAAATCTCGTTTTCAGCTGCCACCAAACAAAGCGGCGTTACATTTAATATAAGCGGCGTAAGTCTTTTCGATCAGCTGTTTAGGCTGGACACCACAGATCGAAAATAACCGTCACCAAGTGTCTCGTATGGTGTTTACCACTGGACACAAACACTCATCTCTCAAGCAAAGAGTGTTTCTCGTCGTGGCAAATCACTCTGTTTGATCTTTTTGTGTTTTCCGTTGTGGGTTATTTATCAACTGCTAAAATTTCCCTTGGGCAAAAACACTTTGGCAGGGACTTTTATTTTTAAGTGTCTTAATTTGTGGGTTATTGTAGGACTGAAAAATATAAGTGGGCGTAATAAGTGGAAGCAAAGCGTTAGGCATTTCTTTACACGACATATACGTACGTACACATACATACATGTGGGAACATTTAGGACAAAGAAGAGAGCGCATACATTCTTAATATGATACACCGAAAATAAGCTATTTTATTTTAGTGATGAAGAAAAGGATAAAGGCAAAGGTAAAAACAAAAACAAGAACAAAGATGCGTAAAAATTTTAAAATTTTACCAATATAAGGGCAAAGGTGAAGGGGAATATGTAGATGTAGAAAATGATAAACATAAAGATGATAAAGATAAATACTAAGAAAGAGATGAGGATGAGTAAAGATGAAGATAAAGGAAGTAAGATTAAAATAAAGGTAATTATAAAGAAAATGATATAGTCACAGAGACTCAACCTGGGAACTAGAAATGTTCGATATTTAAGAAAGAATCGATGTCATGAATCATTCTAATTCACTTCCGTAGTCCAAAAATCCCGAAGTGGTGCCGAAGATTCCGATAATCCCGAAGAAGTCTGGAAAATCACGGATTTGTCCCGAGGATCCCGATAGCGGATCTTAAATCAATAAGGATTTAAAAGCACGCAACCCTGCCACCGCATGACCGTCATGGTTGACGTTGCTTATATCTCTCTCTATCTCTATCAACAGCAAATTTGATATGTTTCTGCGCACTTCTACGGTACCCGCGTACACATTCGTGGGCAACCGCGCTCTAACACTTATTTTCCTCTTCCAGCGATAAGTGTTCGTGTCCAACAGCAACGGAAAAAGATATGCAAATAGCCCTTTCCCACTGAGAGGAGCACACATCTAACAAAAAAATCAACCAACTGTTCTGTTTTGTGGGTTATTTTTTTCTCTTAAATAGGGACTGTTATTTTGAGACACTTTCAAAGTGTTGAGGGATATTTTCGACCTCTGCTGGGCACAACACGTTGAATTCAGGTACCGAACAAATTTTGCGATGGGAACAATGGCGGAAAGTAGTTTTCAATTATTCATGCTTTTCTCATTGAGAGGAAATGTTGTATTTTCCTCAAAAATTTGGTTACTTGCAAGTTACAGGAGAATACGAAAACATAGCTACATATACTCTCGAAGGTTTGCCATTACTTGCTCACCGGCGACCGCTGTTTGATAAAAATTTTTGATGCTGGTCAGACCAATAATCGAATCGGCAAAAAAACGGGAAAAACAATCAAAGTTCACGTGTATTTTGAACGGGAAATCTTTACACGCCTTGGTCGAGCACTTAATATTAA